AAAAGGCCAATATTTTAACCTCTAGCTATCAAACAAAAGAAAATAAAGGTAGTCTGTGAAACAGACAAGGTCAAACAACCAGTAATAAGTGCTTTTGATTCAGTTTCAGTGAAATCTGCTAAAAGGAATTCAACTTGTATGTGCATAGAACCTCATTTTTCACTTGCTTCATACTGACCGTTAGACTAAGATCATTAAAGCAGCACATTTTGCACTCTTTTTCTGATTTTATCTACTTTTTTTGTATGTTCAGTGTTCAAAAATGAGTTAAACATCTACATTAGATACCACAAACACAAATAGAAAATCAGAAAAACCTGTCAGAGAGAAAGTAAGCATGCTACTTTTGTAAAAATATTGAAACACCTGAAAAAGTTCAATTTTGGGCATGTAGGCTGAAATGGCACTTTTTTACAAAATTTCTATCAAATAAAAGTGGAAATCATTTATTCTCATGTAGTTTGACAAATTAATGCCAATAGATCATTCAGGGAAGTTGTCGAAGTACAAATTCAATATTTCCTGAATTCACCTATTAGGGGTTCAAAACTTGACCAATTCTAATAAAACTTGGCATGATTTAAGCTTAGTGTATTATGAAACAGTTTACAAAGTTTTAAAGCCATATGATGCCAATTATACAAAATGTGGCATTTTTTATATCTGAACTTTGGGTGCTGAATTGTGGAGTTGATTTGAACAATTTAAACTATCAAATTTGGGCTTCTAAAAACCAAAATATACCAAAACTTACACTTTTTAATGTCTCTTTGTATAAGTTACCACCTATTAAAAGCAACAGATAGCATACTTCATGTTTCAGACCTATAAAAAATGGCCAGAAGTTAATTTTATATGAGCCTGTGCCAAAAAAAAGAGGTTTTCAAATGAAGTGAGGCCTTATATAAAATGTAATATTTTTCACTTACCACAATTTTTTGAAGTTGTTAAGTTATAAAAAAACCTTTTATATGTTATAAATGTACTTTTAATGGAAATATAAGTTTCAAATAGCATAACACATGTGAATAAAATGTATTTCAGCAATGTCAAGCTTAAAAAAACAGGTTGTCAATTTAGGTTGTTCCCCACATTTGCATATTAAAAAGCATATCAATGATATGGGAGATAGAGATATGCTTGTTTTTGCTCAAATCTTTGCTTAGATATGATAAAACATGGAGCCTGGATGTAACAAGAATGTCACTTTTAACTGTATATGTAGACAGTATCATCTGATGCAAAGTTATTTACTGTACTTTTTAAAACCGGCATGAAATTTCAGCCTCAAAAGGCCAATATGTTAACCTCTAGCTATCAAACAAAAGAAAATAAAGGTAGTCTGTGAAACAGACAAGGTCAAACAACCAGTAATAAGTGCTTTTGATTCAGTTTCAGTGAAATCTGCTAAAAGGAATTCAACTTGTATGTGCATAGAACCTCATTTTTCACTTGCTTCATATTGACCGTTAGACTAAGATCATTAAAGCAGCACATTTTGCACTCTTATTCTGATTTTATCTACTTTTTTTGTATGTTCAGTGTTCAAAAATGAGTTAAACATCTACATTAGATACCACAAACACAAATAGAAAATCAGAAAAACCTGTCAGAGAGAAAGTTAGCATGCTACTTTTGTAAAAATATTGAAACACCTGAAAAAGTTCAATTTTGGGCATGTAGGCTGAAATGGCACTTTTTTACAAAATTTCTATCAAATAAAAGTGGAAATCATTTATTCTCATGTAGTTTGACAAATTAATACCAATAGATGATTCAGGGAAGTTGTCAAAGTACAAATTCAATATTTCCTGAATTCACCTATTAGGGGTTCAAAACTTGACCAATTCTAATAAAACTTAGCATGATTTAAGCTTAGTGTATTATGAAACAGTTTACAAAGTTTTAAAGCCATATGATGCCAATTATACAAAATGCGGCATTTTTTATATCTGAACTTTAGGCGCTGAATTGTGGCGTTGATTTGAACAATTTCAACTATCAAATTTGGGCTTCTAAAAACCAAAATATACCAAAACTTACACTTTTTAATGTCTCTATGTATAATTTATCACCCATTAAAAGCAACAGATAGCATACTTCATGCTTCAGACTTATAAAAAATGGCCAGAAGTAAATTTTATATGAGCCTGTGCCAAAAATAGAGATTTTCAAATGAAGTGAGGCCTTATATAAAATGTAATATTTTTCACTTACCACAATTTTCTGAAGTTGTTAAGTTATAAAAAAACCTTTTATATGTTATAAATGTACTTTTAATGGAAATATAAGTTTCAAATAGCATAACACATGTGAATAAAATGTATTTCAGCAATGTCAAGCTTAAAAAAACAGGTTGTCAATTTAGGTTGTTCCCCACATTTGCATATTAAAAAGCATATAAATGATATGGGAGATTGAGATATGCTTCTTTTTGCTAAAATCTTTGCTTAGATTTGATAAAACATGGAGCCTGGATGTAACAAGACTGTCACTTTCAACTGTATATGTAGACAGTATGATCTGATGCAAACTTATTTACTGTACTTTTTAAAACCGGCATGAATATTCAGCCTCAAAAGGCCAATATTTTAACCTCTAGCTATCAAACAAAAGAAAATAAAGGTAGTCTGTGAAACAGACAAGGTCAAACAACCAGTAACAAGTGCTTTTGATTCAGTTTCAGTGAAATCTGCTAAAAGGAATTCAACTTGTATGTGCATAGAACCTCATTTTTCACTTACTTCATACTGACCGTTAGACTAAGATCATTAAAGCAGCACATTTTGCACTCTTATTCTGATTTTATCTACTTTTTTGTATGTTCAGTGTTCAAAAATGAGTTAAACATCTACATTAGATACCACAAACACAAATAGAAAATCAGAAAAACCTGTCAGAGAGAAAGTAAGCATGCTACTTTTGTAAAAGTATTGAAACACCTGAAAAAGTTCAATTTTGGGCATGTAGGCTGAAATGTCACTTTTTTACAAAATTTCTATCAAATAAAAATGGAAATCATTTATTCTCATGTAGTTTGACAAATTAATACCAATAGATCATTCAGGGAAGTTGTCAAAGTACAAATTCAATATAAATTAATATATGATGAATTCACCTCTTAGGCAACAGACCACAATAAAATTCTCTATTAGTTCTTTATAACGTTTTGTTTCATTACAAAAATTGCACCGATTCTTTTTGTCAAAAATTTTGTGAGTGTAAAGTACAGTACTAGTCGAAACATATATCCAACATTCAGAAAGATTGCTTCCCAGTATCTTACAAATTTAGCTAATACACATCCATACCCCTATGGACAAGTCAAGAGATGTTCCGAAAACTGTAAATATCACCTTTTTGCACCTGGCGTAATCACTCTTTCCATATCAAAATCAGTTAAAATACAACATCCAAAAGTTTATTTCACCTCTTTTCTTTCATTTCCATCCAAAAAAACTAAGAAATGAGTGAGGAAGGGAAAGAAAAAAATTAAGAAAAAATACACTTTAATTAAAAGGAACTATATTCGTGGACAACGAAAAGCTGGATCATTAATTGTGGTCTGGGACCAGTAATGACGAAGATATAATGCCCGCTATTTGTTCTGCCTGACCAAGTATAGCAATCTTTCCATCACAAATTTTGACAATTTTTGCACCATGTGCGGTTCGTAAACGCAATCATTTTGATTTGTATACCCCCGCTTTAAAAAAGTGGAGGTATACTGTTTTACCTCTGTCTGTCTGTCCATCCGTCAGTCCATCCATCCGTCAGTCCGTCAGTCCGTCCTTCCGTCCCATGAATATTTTTCGTCGAATCTTTCTCAGGAACTACAATACAAGGATTTCTGAAATTTGATTTCAGGGTTTATATAAGTCAGCTTTACCGTGTGATGCGTTTTCAGATTCATCACTCAACAACTTCCTGTTTACCGAACACTTGTATCATTTTACACATGATAGCCAAGTTGAAAACTTTCGTCACATTTTTCTCAGGAACTACAATACAAGGATTTCTGAAATTTGGTTTCAGGGTTTATATAAGTCAGCTATACAGTGTGATGCGTTTTCAGATTCATCACTCAACAACTTCCTGTTTACCGAAATAATTGGGCTGGGGGTATCATTAGTGAGCAGTAGCTCGCAGTTTCACTTGTTTAATTTTTGACCACAACAGACTACAATTATGGGATCTTTGTAATTTGAAATGAATATTGTGTCCATATCTGATAATAATTGCATTTGTACCAATTCTAAATGCAATATTTAAATTCATTTGGTTTTAACAATTTTGAACTTTAAGTTATAAAAGCATTCGACTCGTTTTAAGTAAATTTTTCATTCAAAGATACCAGGCTCATAATTTTGTTTGCCAGACGCGCGTTTCGTCGACTTATTAGTAATCACTAGCGTTCGAATTAAAACAGTTGTGAGGCCAAATCAAGATCGAAGTTGTAGAGCTTAAAATATTTCAAATACCAAATATTTTGAGAAATTGTGCCAAATACGGCAAAGGCAATCTACACATTGTGGTAAAAAAAGCCTTAGTGATTCGAATAATGCTACTCGGGTTAATAAAGCCCAATTGTTATGCACACAACTTTACAAATGAAAATAATTATGATAATAAACAGTGATCGAGGAGTTTTATGCATTCTCCTAGAGAAAATTTAGTTCAAATAGGACCACCTACAGGTATGTAGCTTAAGCAGCTGAGGTGATTTTTGTCGTTGTAATCATTGTGATGCTTTCGTCATTTACTAGTAGTCTAAAAATGAAGTTGAAACACGTATTCTGCCATATATTTTCACCTGCCCATTTATGTTCAGAAAAAGAGATGTGCAGTCAACGATGAGACAACAACTTATTAAGTTTGCTTTTAACATCTTTTTCCGATCAATTGCATGTTTTAGTCATTGTTTCTATTCATTGCCTTTCATGGCTTTGTTAATGAAATATTTATTTTTAATATATTATATAAAATATATTTTTATGTAGACTTCAATCAGTGAATACGTCATTCGAAAAAGTAAAAGCTGAATTTAAAGAAGCAAATGATAAAATTCAAGCTCTCAACGAAGAAAATGACAGGTAAACGTTTGAAATATATAGTAATTGCATAACTTTGTTTGATTTTTACAAAGGTATATAATTGACTAATTGACAGATGCTCAATTGTCTCTTTTTTTTTACATCTTTTGAAAGTTACAAACATGCTTGACGTCAATGGTGTTACTAGTGAATTTAGCTTTTTCAGCTTTATTCTTCATAACATCACTGTGCTACAGGACTAACTGCAATTTGGTGTATGCAATTCATTTTTACACACTCCTTTACCTATTGAATGACCGCAGCATAGTGTACATCATTCAATAGAAAGTAGAACAAAGGAAAAATAGCTTACCTAGAAACCATTTGTATCTGCATGTTTTATACACTTTCAGCACTTATAGTTATAGCTTGGTGGCAAAAGGGAAAGAATTTAATTTTAGAACATTTCGTTGCTAGTAATAGACAAACTCCGGATTGTCATGGTCATCAGCACTAGTTGGTTTATCAATGTCTTTGAGTACAGCCATACAGTTGTAACAAGGAATAATTCTAAAATGAAAAAAAAAATTAATATTAATCAAAAAATGAAATGAAAATGTATAAATACATATCACCAAGTCAAGCTTTGCCTCTAAAATTTAAATTGGCATGCATTTATATTCTTTAAAGCCGATGTTTTCCTATGTCTATAATGAGATGAAAATGAAGAGTGTCCTCCCTTACACCATGGATTTGAATATCTAACAGCACTACAAATTAATTGGGATTAAATTTCAGAAGTCTCTCGTTCAGAACAATTTGTGCGGTGGTTCAAATTTTCTGTAAAGTAAATTTTCATCAAATGACTGTATAACAAACAAAAATCAAGTACTTTCCACCAATATTACAGAATTACAAAGCTATTTATGCCAATACATTGACTGAAATAAAAAATAGATAAAAATAGATGACAAGGCTATATCATGTCCAAGGATATTTTGTCCGCCCCTAGTGTTGTATTTCATACAGTATTTAATGCAGATTACTTTTACATGAGTTTTACACCTTGAAATTATCATTTCGGGGGCAATTTGCATATTTTTGAAATATCAAACAAAAATTTATTAAATATTCTCAGGCAAATAGGATTTTATCAACTTAATTAGTATTTGATATTCGATCACATGCTTATCTTACATTTGATAATGCTTGGTTTTGTATAATTCATTACGCATTTTTACACAATGCTATGAAATATCAAAATACAATTTGATTTTAACAATTGTGATTTTTCAGATTTTGTTCATGACACTACTATACACACACGGTAAAATTTCACATATTTGTAGTATATACAATTAAAACAAAAAGTTGTCATCAAATCTATTCTAAATGTTTTAATTGAACTGTTTATTAATAATTTAGAATATTGAAAAATCTAAAACTACCTGACGAAAAAGCGAAGAAGATGCTTACCACTCTACAAAAGAAGTTTAAAGATGAAACAAAACAAAAGGAAGATATGCAGCAGAAATTAGAAGAGCAAATTAAAAAAAAGGATGCCCTGTCACAAATGTAATTTTTATGTTTAATATCACTTCCTCGTTTTCAAGCTCAATTCATTCTGATTCAGAGTGTTGAACACTTGTAGAGAATATACAATAAGTAAACAACTAGCTAATGTCAAGTAAAAAGGTGGAATACACCAAATGTCACAAGGAAAAATAAAATTTTGTTTCTCACTCATAATAATAATATTTTAAATTCATCTACTTTCTGGCTCGTGAATTGGCGAAATTGAAAACAGTTGTACTGTTTTCCATCAATATATATTTAGTTGAAAAGGTGTTGGAAACATTGGACAGTAAAAAACCATTAGTCGAATCATTGATAATAAAACAGAAAGCAAACAAAACATGAATAAATTTTGGACTGTAAAATCCTTTCTTGAAAAGATAAAGTTCAATAAAATCACGTAATAAGTACTATTCTTATAACAGAGAATTTGTTTTTTTAAAAAGCAGATGTTTATCTGATTTTCTTCTTTTGAGAATATTTTCTCACTAACCGTTTTATTGACTTGTACATATTTTACAGGTGTGATAAATATAAAGCTGCTTGTCTTAAACTGCAGGAAACAAAACAGACCCAAGATGAAAGGTACTCAAAGTTCATGTGTCAAAGTTCCATGCAACAACAAAATATTGAGTTATAACCGAGAAGGGAAGTGGGTGGATAAGAATAGTTTCTTATACACATGAGTCGTTTTTAACTTTACTTGGTTCAATGGCATAGAAATGAAAATGTATCTGGACGTCATCGTGTTTTATGTAATTTAATGTAATTCATCCTGTCCTGTTAAATCATGGAGAAAAAGTCAGTAATTATTTTGTGCATTTGATGTTAAAAATTTGGTATAAGCATGTCCAATGGTCAGAAAGCGAGGACATAGCCATGCATGAATGCTGACTACGTTTAATTGACTTCATATAACAGAAGTAAGAAGAGTTAAGATATCCCATATTTGACCCAATTTGAAGCGTGTAATTGATTTCACCTAACCCTGACCTCATTTTTTTTGGTTCATTGATCTATGGAACATTAGATTTTGGTGATTATGCCTGTTTCTAAAGTACTAAGAAACTTAAATTCAACTTTTTTTTTCTTTTATCTTTTATTCAACAACAACAAATTGCACTTTCTGCTGTTAACATTGTTCTTCACTAGTCCAGCATCCCAGTGAAGAGTCCCTGTTTGTTAATACCAGAATTCCAGGGTTGTTTTCTTGTAAGCATCATTATATTAAATTAACATTAGTTTTAATTACAGCTAAATTATAACATTTTCAGCAATGAAATACACAAGTATATATCAATGAGACTTTTTTATTTAACAATATATCATCTAGCAATTATTTTTGAGTATTGTTTCCGGAAAATTTTTATATTTCTTCCGTAAACGTGTTAACTGTTTTTCTATCAAATATCTTCCTGGTTTTGAAACAGAAATTGTCACACCGGCCATGACTTTAAAAAAAGAAAATGATGTTCTATAGCCTATTCACGGGTATGTCTGAATCAAAAATTATCTTTTTTGGTCTACACAACATTATAAGGTTTTGCTAGTAAACCAGTTTTAATCTGAAATGGTTATCTTAATCTTAATACTTCTAAAAAGACTTAACAATAAATTATAAAGTCATATTCAGTCTTTCAATCAATTTTCAGACATATCCACTGCGGAAAATTCACTATTTAGACATTTGCTTGTCTTCAATTAAGATCTGTTCAGTATATGTTCAGATTGTTTAGTATTTCCCTGTAAACATCAATAGTATACTGAATTGTCTGAAAAGCTACAGAACAGTAATTAATTGACTGCTAGTGAATTGTCTGAACAGTACTGAATATACGATTGTTCAGACATTTCAGATGATGTTAAGATCAAAATGACCATTTAAGATTAAAATTCATTTACTAGGGTTGAAATCAAACACATCTGATCTAGCCTTTACCAGTGTTTGATATTTCATTGGCCAACATATGCATAAGGTTCATGATTTAGTCATATGGTATACGGTATACGATTCTATAAAAAAAAATATATTTGAAATGTCTGGGTAATAGAACCCTTTACTTGTGAAGTGTTGATGTCGGTCTGATTTCATTTTCATGTTTCATTAAAAATCTTTAAGATTTCGGTAAACGTCCTTTTTATGCCCCACCTAGGTGCATTATGTTTATCGGTCTGTGCGTCCGTTCGTTCGTCCGTTCGTCCGTCCGTCTGTCCAGCTTTAGGTTAAAGTTTTTCAGGTTAAAGTTTTTGGTCAAGGTAGTTTTTGATGAAGTTGAAGTCCAATCAACGTGAAACTTAGTACACATGTTCCCTATGATATGATCTTTCTAATTTTAATGCCAAATTAGAGTTTTGACCCCAATTTCACGGTCCACTGAACATAGAAAATAATAGTGCGAGTGGGGCATCCGTGTACTATGGACACATTCTTGTTTCAGTCTCTATAAGAAAAGGTGACTCATATTAGATCTTACAAATTTTTTAGAGTAGTTAACGTTCGCCTTGCATATCTTACTTGATATCCATATTATTTGCATGGTTCGTCGATCAACTTCAAATTTTCATGTCTTAAAAATTATAACGAGTGACACATCTTTCTAATAGGGTTCACCTGATTGTCCCCTAATTATCCTGTTTCATTGTCAATGTTAATTTTTATGATATCTGTTGTACATCTTTGATCGAAAAGATTCCCAAACATAGTTTAGAATGCTAGACGTTTCAACGTATTTGAGCTTTGTGAAAGCAAGACTATGAAGCTAAAGACAAGTCATAATGCCCTGATGAAAACCAAAACAACAAAAAAGCGAGACACTTTTAAAAGATGATGACATACAAATAATGTGTATCCTGTTTTGAATTGCTACCACTATATGGATTTCATTACCACAAAGTGTTAAAATTCCGAAGGCAATGCCTTTGTTCTTGTTTTATATCGATTTACTGTGATTCTTGATAATGATTTTGCATCGACAAAAAGGTAAAACTGTATTAAAATTAAATTTTATTTTAAATTGCACTCGAGTTGATTCTTACCCCGGTTTTCGATGCAATTTATGTTACATTGTCTGTTAGTTTATGTAAAGTAGTTCGTGGATAGTTTGTTTTTCTTTTGGCTTTTATGTGTATGCCTGTCTTCAAATTTTGGATATATATTGCCTTCTTGATATGGTGTACGATTGGTTTTTTTTGTTTTTTTTTGGGGGTGTTAGTTTTTATGCCCCCTCACCATATCGACCATATTGTTTAACCCTTGTCCATCCGTCCGTCCGTCCTACTAAAGGTATATCGTTTGTTCGGCTAACTCCGACTACAGTTTCAATGTACAAATGTTATACGATGCCACTGCTGGTGGACGTTTCGTCCCCGAGGATATCACCAGCCCAATAGTCAGCACTTCGGTGTTGACATGAATATCAATTATATGGTCAATTTTATAAATTTCCTGTTACAAAACTTTGAATTTTTCGAAAAACTATGGATTTTCTTATCCCAGGAATAGATTACCTTAGCCGTATTTGGCACAACTTTTTGGAGTTTTGGATCCTCAATGCTCTTCAACTTTGTACTTGTTTGGCTTTATAACTATTTTGATCTGAGCGTCACTGATGAGTCTTATGTAGACGAAACGCGAGTCTGGCGTATTGAATTATAGTATGTAGAGTGTTATAACATAAACTAAAGGTTTACGTTTTCTCAGGATTATGAATTTCTTAAACCAATTCCATAAATGACAGGTTGCCATTTTTTGGAAATGTTATGCATGTGGGGTAGATGGTTTATACGGCTAACTCTTCCTACTAGAACTTATATTATAACTAGGGTGTCAGTACATATACATGATATACATATCATAATATATGGCATGCAGGGTACATGGTTTATCCTACTAGCTCCTCCAAGAGATATAAAAATAAAACATTTATATTATGCAGCTCATTATTTCATATGTTCAAGGTGTGCATATAATAAGATTTTGTATTTTAAAAAAATTCCACAAATGACAGAATGTTTAATCACTGTGGGGGAAGTGTCTTTCAGACTGAAGTATTTCAAATTAAGCATTAACATCACCGTTTACTGAATCAAATGTGTTTGGCCGTATATACAAGCATGCAGCGAGGGAATCTTATTTGTCTTGTTTGATATATGTAAAGCAACATTAAATAAAAGAGTATAACACAAATTTGGAACTCCAAGGCAAATTGAAAAAGGGGAAGTCCATAAAAACTGACGAAATCAAACGCTATCAATTAACAGAACAAGTGAAAAACAATTGCCATATTCCTGACTTTATACATACACTGGTGGTTAAACCGGGTTTTAAAGTTAGCTAAACCACCCACTTGTATGACAGTTGTTTATAGTTCCGTATATTGACAAACTCGGGTAAGCAATCCAAGCAGACATAATAGGTTATGACAATAGTTAGGATCCAGCAGCCAAAACTGTGTAAACATACATCACAGACATACAACACAACTGACTTACAAATTCAAAGAAACATAAAGATTAATCTAACAAAAACGCCAACAAAAAAGGAGTAGTATATAATGAATTTGAAATTTGAAAATGACGTCAGCAAGTCACTTTTTTTCGTTGATAGTACATACCGTATATTTTATATACACTTTCTCGATGAAGTAAAAATCAAGTAAATATAATTAATTTCTATTAAAAAATAGAAACGACGCTGTAAAAACCCTTTGTGTCCGAATTGCACATCAGGACCCACTTGCACCAGGAATGCCCAAAGTTAAAAAGTAAAAAACCCGATGGCGGGATGTATAAATTTACAATTGCATATTTGTAGTTGATCATCAATATAGATATCATATTGGCAATGTGCGCATTACAATTTAATTCAAAGTCGTATTAGTTCAACATTAAATTACTTACATATATTTGTTATACGGGGACGTTTTTCTATAAATAATTTTGAGGTTAAAACTTTGTCATTGATAATTTCCAAATAAATTCATAAATGACGATTTCGATTTTTAGGAACATTTTACGGCCTAATGAACAAGTTTCCAACAAACCTTGGGTCATATGTGTTTGCTTGTATAAAATTTCAAAACTCCATTATACAAACCTTTCCAAAGAGATTTCAATGATTCATTTTCATTGTACTTTTCCTTTGGTATATCATATATTCAGATCAAATTTAAGGTTTATACATTTTGATTAAAAAAACGTAGCCGCCTTACAATTTCAGGGATTCTATTTTTTTTTAATCTATGTTTAACATAAACTTAATTCATTACGATACTTACTAAACTACAATCCAGGACGATTTTTTAAAGTGTATTGGCCACACTCGATACAGCGAAAGTTGTTAGCATGCAAGTCCTATACCGAGTAAAAAAATTGACGTTGACAATTTTCTACATAATTATCATCTATTACTGTATAAATATAAACATTACAAGAATAAATGCTCAAATATTTCAAAGATGATGATGTGATACATGCACATATGCATAATTATAAACAGATTAAAGACAACAGGGTAGACAGAATAGTCGACTTTTTTTACTGATAAGGACGTTAATGTTCTTTATTGGCATAGTTTATAATTATTTGATAAGATTTATAATGAATATTAATCACGATAAGAATAGATTAAAATATGGAACAATACAAACTTTTGTTCTATAGTTCTGACAAGTTCTCGTTATACAGAAATGACCCAAATAGTGAAGCAAGGTCCGTGTATATATGAGCTGCGTCGGATAAAATTGACCTTATGCATGTGTACTTATACATATACATGTGTAAGGCTTTGATTGATTTTGGAACATTCAAATACGAAATAAAAGACGGATTTTGTTCTGTTTTGTAGGGTTCTGATATATATATATCAACTCATTTTTAAACAGTAACAGACTTTGTAAAGATATTTTTTCTATCCGACACAGCTCATATGTTTATTCCCACAAATTATAGTCTGCATATTCTAAATGTTTGCATTTTGATTAATCACATCAGTGAATTTCACAGTAACAATACATTAATGTTGCATTTAGATCGTATACACACAGTTGCAAGCAGTCTCATATATATTGGATACAAATATGCAATTTTCAGAACTAGTATTGCTTAATATGAATAGCTAACATTAATTTTATTGCAAATATCTGAAATTTTTATTTAAAAATATTAGGTTACCCTTTTGATATTAATGCAGTATTTCATTGATTTAGTTTGCATATTAGTATCATCAATACTACTGAAAACTTGGATTTGCTTTTTTTTACCTAGATTTGACAACATGCAACGCCCAAAAACGGCTCCATCCAGACAGTATAGAGAAATGCAGATTTTGGTGGAAACACTCAAAGGTGAAAAAGAATCATTAATGCAAAGGTACGACTAGTAGCTCACAAAGTATGATTAAATAAAAAATGATATGGGGTATCATTGCCAATAAAAACTAAATGCCGTTGATGTGAGCAACACTAGGTTACCGTATGGTTCTCAATAATGAGCTAAACCATACCGTATAGTAAGCTTTAAAAGGCCCAGACAGGACAAAATGTAAAATAATTCAAACAAGAAAATAACAGCCTGGTTTATGATGAAAATTGCATTTGACAGACAGACAGCAACCAACAAAACCACTACATTACAGACTCCTGACCGGGAACATGCACATAAAGAATGTGGTAGGTATAAAAACGTGAAACTGTGTTAACCCGTTCGTAGTCTTGTACAGTGGTATAACAGAACAACATAAGAACGAACTGCAAAAATCAGTTGGAAAACTGCTTGCTTTTGTTTCATTTGATGCAGCAAACTGGACAAAAAATGGTGCATCGTCTTATAAAATGTCTCTGCTGCTTGAAAAATCTCTGATATGAAATGCAAATAATATTACTGGAAAGAAGTTGAACTGAGTTAAGCTTTTCCATTAGTTATATTAAAATATTTCAGATGATTTTTTTGTTAAACATAACGTCGTTGATCGTTGACGCTATTATATAGACAATAGGTGTTAAGTGCCTTGAAAATATCAACTGTATTTAAACGAGGCTAAGAAGCAGGAGAAATGCAAGCTACAGTGAGCATTTCTCCTGTTACAAGCCGAGTACAAATACAGCTGATATTTAAAGACACTTAACACTTATTGTCTTTATCCTACAATGTATTGTGTTCAATGTTGTTGCTTAAACAGGTAGTAATACTCCTATTAATTTCAGCTATTTTCGTTTTTTTTAATTATCATTTTTTGTTTATCCCTCTATCATGTCTATGTTGTCTTGGTGTAATAATATTAAAGGGAAATAACGCAGTAAGCTGATGAGCGGTACGCCAAAAAGAATTGCACACGGTCACGTAAAAAAATTGCGCTTTCGGAGAATAAGTATTTATTATACCATAACAAGTAATTTAAACAGCAACTAAAAATTACAATTAAACAGGATCCAAATTTCGGACAAAAATGTATGATTATTCCTCCCGCTTCAGAAATATCCGACGGCATAGAACATGGATCATGGATGACATTCAGTTGGAATGTTATATATCGAATAGCATATTGACAATATATGATGTCACAGCTTTAACGAAGTTAAAAACAACAGAAATGTAAAATAAACGATATTTCATGTACTGTATTTGAAATGTATCTGTCATTGGAATGCATATGCAATACACCAATCTATAGGTCACATAAGTTCACATAATACATCATTGGCAAGCTATACACACAAGTAGTCTGGGAGTGGGTGGAACCTTAAGCGATAAATGTATAGTATACAGTTTCAGCAAAGCTATATCGGCTGGGTTGTTATGTATGATAGGACATCCAAGTGCAGGATAAATAGTTTAAACGTGCTATTTCGATGCCAAAATTATTTACATTATTTGATTTTAGTTCTTAACAAAAATTAAAAATCTATTCCATTTACCATCTTTAACTTTCCTCTGTTGACAAAAAATTTCTTTCGACCGTTAAGCACCTTAACGTCAACTTTTATCTCCTTATTCCTTACACGAGAAAGAAAACATACCAGATTTGTAATACGTTTATAGGTTAAGTAAAGTGGCTGGAATGAAAATGAAGGACAACAACCCAGCTATTGCTGATTTAAGTGATCCAAACAGACCAGAAAAGTTATCAGAAAAGTTTCGAGAAATTTATGACAATGCATGGACTAACTTATTAGACGCCATCACTGAGAAGACTGGTGATTCTGATGAAATTGGTGTAAAACAAATTGTCAACGCACTAACGGTTTGCAATATCTTAGTACTCACTATCAAACTTCTAACTTTAAGCTGGGATGGTCCCAGCTTCAAGCAAAATTTTATTCGTTCAAATTTCAACAGTATACAAATTACAACATAAAAAACTATAGACTGAGCAAAACGAACCCGATCAAACACAGTGGTTGATCTCATAGTTTTAAAAATACCGTACTTAATTTGTTTTTTTCAACTTATTTGATTAGAGCGTCACTGATGAGTCTTTTGTAAACGAAACGCGAGTCTGGCGTACAGAATTTTAATCCTGGAATCTATGATGAGTGTATATACCAATTATACCTTTTGAAAACATGAACGATGAAAACATTTTTTTTAACTTTTTCACGCTATTTGAAAACAAATTCTTTCAAACAGAAAAAAAATCTAAAACTATGCATTTCATTATAAATATTTAACATGTTAAAAGCACATTTTTGAAGATGATAAAATAGGTTGATGATATAACTACGAGAAAACCCCAGACTATGATATCTTCAGGAGGGATAAATATATATTCTAAATGCAAGAATAAAATTATCGTTTTTCAAATTTCAGTTTTGTGTATACTACTACTGTACTTGATAATGTCATAGAGCATTGCGTAGTTAAATATTATGATCAATTTGTTGTTTTTTATTTAAATTATTTTCTTTTCTGCGAAACGAAATGTTTATATTAAAGTTTTTTTATTTTCTGAACTTCAACTTAAACATTTTGCAAATGTTAATTACATTAAGGGTTCACATTTTACTGCATAAGATGTAACTTTCAATAATTAATAGCTAATTCTATCAATAACCCAAATATAGCTTGAAAGAAGATACTGAACCGATTAAACACAATTCTTCTTCAGGAAATGCGATAAAATTTTACCAATTTAGCCATTTAATTTTGCCCTTTATCTATATTTGAAACATTTCCAAATAAAGCACCTGATACTAAGGTTTTGTTTTTTTATTTTTAGAAAATTATACATTAAATTAGATAAGAAGTGTTTTAATTAAGTTTTCACTGATACAAACATTTTAAAAACAAATATTTTGTTAATTTGACATGCTGAAGAGATTAACAAGAATGTATTTCCAAATATATATTTCTTAATTTAATGCAATTGGGTCTAACAGACTTTCAAATAGTCTATAGCTATAAAAAGATGCGAAAGATACCAAAGGGACATTCAAACTCATAAGTCGGAAATAAACTGACATCGCCATGGCAAACAAAGAAAACATCAAAAAAAAAACAACAGTATACACAAGACAACATAAAAACTAAAGACTGAGCAACACGAACCCCACAAAAACCCGGATTTTTTTTTTAATAAATATCATTCTGTTAAAGCTATACACATTTGCTACTGTTACTCATTTCATCTGTGTAAATTGTCTTTACAGTTTCCTGGTAATTTTACTTGTTTCAAATTTAATTATTTCCTCTTAATATCATCTCTTTTCGTGGCATTTGATATTAAAAGAATTTGTTTCTACCTGTATGCAAACTGCTGTACGTCTAAATTATTTTACAATCAAATGTTTTGTGTCATTTCTAGTAAACAACTCCTTTTTTTTATAGATGATGTATAATACATGTAAAAATACAATAAGCAACAATAGAAAAGCTATTGCAAAACTAGTTGGCTATCCAGAAGACTGCTTTGACAAACCGGTAATATATATCTAATTCAGTTTGTAATTAAGAAAATAAAATGATCAACTTTTTTTTGTAAAGCACAAGTGCTTCTGTAACGGTTTATTAATGTAATTTCTGGATTCTAATTTGTCATAATAAAAATAAGGACTAATTTTCGCCTATGTTTAATTACATGTTGAAAATTTATGTAGCGATTCTCAATCAACTAAAATCATTATGTTCTCTACAATACACATCACTATAGGGAAAACAGTAGTTGTTCATTTTTCGCGGCAATTGGTTGGCCTTTTGTGTACCCTAGGCAGATACAGGAGTCATCTTTGAAGTACTGTGATTGGATGTAAGAGTATAATGTATTTTGTATTTACTTACTAAATAATTGCAGTGTATATATTTACAATATAAATTTTTAAATGAAGGGACATTTTTCTTGAGATTCATTCGAAAAGGGTTCCAAATATTCATAAGTATGATGTAAAATGACGGTTGCCATTGATACTTTAAGCAAGATGGTCATGCTACCAATTTCTAAAACAGAATAATAAAGTACTATTATCACTAATAACTGTTCGATATTTTGTGAAATTCTAGTATTGTCGCCTACGGAGGAAAACAAAGTATCATTTTCCCTTTATTGTCTACCTTTTTAATTCACTTTCAATCAGGTTTAAGTTTTTGAAATATAAACACCAGCGACACATAGATTTAAGGGAGCAAGATGAAAAATCTTATTTCAATCAGATTGTATAAATGTTTTTTGTAAATTTTAGTATGCCGGTGGAAAAGAAGGGCATGATCCAGTTTTAAAAACATTGAAAGACTTAATTCAAATATCCGTGACACGCCAAAGTGAAGCTGTAACAAAGGTAACAAGAGATGAAAAAAGAGTTGTTTACTAATACATTAAAATAAAAACAAGAAAAATTATCATGATAACGAGACAAATACGAATAACAAACAAACCTTTAGGAAAAAAGAGAATTGAAGGTATTCCCTCAAAATATTTAATTTGTAGTTACTCTTAAAGTATTAATGTTGCATACACATTGATTGTTGTATAATCAAATGTTTCTGTAAATTTTAGTATGCCGGTGGAAAAGAAGGGCATGATATAGTATGAAAAACATTGAAAGACTTAATACAAGTCGGCGAGACACGCCAATTTGTTCGACATACAGATGTAGTTATACACAATTTCATACTTGTCCAAAATACCACCAAGTAAACATATACTTAAAAGGACAGTAGCAATTATTTAGACAAAACATTAACTTAAGCATGTTAAGGCTATTTTCATTGTTTTCAGCATTAATAAAAGCGGCATGTTGGTATAATAATTCGCTATAAGCAGCCATTTTGGTTCAAGTTCGTAAAAATAAATTAAAAAAAACATTGTGATATTTTATTGTCATGCAAGACAATAATTAGATCTCATCTGGGTCCTTAGGTTGCAAACCTTTACTTTGACTTTTTTGTTTGAGATGGGGTCTGCATGTGCTCAGCAGCATGTCTACTGATTGAAACAAATGTTTGCTGAAAATTGAAAATAAAGAAGACAGCAGAAGAAGACATATTTTGTTGATTGATTGGACGAAATCAAACATCAGTCTAATACAGGTTATGAGCAAATTGGACCACACTGAACTGCACTGAAAATCGTTATTATACTGTTACAAATGTTTACTTGTCTGTTTATATTCATATTTATAACGAGATCACATGCCCATCGACAATTTTGGGAGTAATGTCAATGGTTAATAAGATGGCGTCCAAACAAGAAATCACATGAACATTTTGAGAAACTTTTTTTAACAATTATCTTCCTTGTGCATTGTTTTCAGTAGAAATTTTGTGTTCTCTTTCACATTTTAATATAAATGAATCAAATTTTAGAGTTCGAGCAAACTCCATAGTGATATGACTTTAGCAAACTAATGCCCCTTAAATTAAACTTTTATCAGAATTTAAACATATTTTGAATGACCGTAACGTACACGTCTTATGTAGGTCAAAGTGATATTTTTTAAAATGACCAAACTTGTTGTTTTTGCAGAATGTTAAAGAGTTGCCGGAAATAAAAACTATCCTTCAGGTTGGTGGCAAAAATGGTGATGCATTCATCAATGAATGTTTACAGCTATGTTTATATATGTGTACGCAGGACCCGCCTGTCGTGCTTGATTTTAGTTGTAAAAGTGGAGATGCTTTTGATAAGGACAAATTTACCCCTTTTACAAAGTCTGGTGCCATTGTTGATTACGTGGTGTGGCCTGTGATGTATCTCAGTGACAATGGAGCCATGATGAGCAAAGGAATTGCACAAGGAAAATAAAAATAAACGATTTCTCAGTCTGATAACAATTCAGACCCTGGATCCTGATTGGACACAGGATATTTATTTCCATCAGATTGAACGATTTCTAAAAATATAATATGTGTCACTAACAGTTACTAGTCGTTATTTGTTTATTCAAGGTGTATCAAAATAACAAATACTGATATATTTTTGTTTTTAACTTATTCTTCCTGATTTTAACATTGCACCTTGAGTTAGTCATTTTAAACTTAATTGACAAGGCATGGTTTTATAATAGAGCAACTTTAAAAAAAAAATATATTTGCAGAAAAGGTTCATTTTATCAAATTGAATATTTTGCAGCCTAATTACTTTACTGTAGATTTTTATACATAATTTAAGAGATTGTGTTTTTACCATGACAGTAAAATAAAATAAAAACTGCTTTGCAATTTATACAATTTCGTACAATAGATAACATATCTCTAAATGATACGAGACGAACAGCAATTAGAACGCTTCTCATGATGTCACGATTGTTGTCCCTCAAAATAGTATCGCAAGTGGTTGATTTAAGACTTGTTATACATGTAAACATATGCCAATATCACATGATTGCTATTGATAAAGGTTGTACAATACAAAACATAATTATAATATTTACCTTTATTCTTATTGGATTCCTCGACATCCACTGATTTTGACGGGGTTCGTGTTGCTCCGTCTTTATTTTCTATATTATGTTTTGTTTTCTGTCGTTTGTCTTTTCGTCGTATTTTGCTGGGCATTGTCACTTTTTCATTGACTTATGAGTTTGAATATCCCTTTGGTAAATTTCGCCTCTTTCTGATTTTTTTAACAGTAGTTTTAGCTTCACTGTCTTTCTATATCACTGAAACATTAACTTTGTATATGGTACTACAATCTGTCGATACCTATATTTTGGCATGGCACACTGTCATGTTTTTTTCTCTGACTGTGAAAAGTAAAATAACAAAAATACCGAACTCCGAAGAAAATTCAAAACGGAAATTCCACAACCAAATGACAAAATAAAAAGCTCAAACACATCAAACGAATAGATAACAACTGTCATACTCCTTACTTGGTACAGTCGTTTTCTTATGGAGAAAATTGTGGATTAAACCTGGATTTATAGCTATCTAAACCTCCCACTTGTATGACAGTCGCATACAATTCCATTATATTGACAACAATGTGTGACAAAAAACCAGACATAATAGGTAAAAATGTCAAAAATAGGGGTTAGGCAGTCAACATTGTGTTATTATCTTAATCACTACAAAACAGACAAATGTATCAACAAAGAAAAAACAAAAGACAAGAACACAAACATTAACCATAGCTCAATAACACAATGACGGGATGTATAAGTACCGATCCACGTCAAATGGACATCAACAAAAATAGACTTAACAGTAAAAGTAATAATTTACACAGACAAATAAACACTATAATACGTAACTAAGATGATAAACAACGTCAGTACCTAGGATCTATACTTCAAGACCATCGTGTATTATTTGTGAAGTTGTTATGGAATATTTATCAACAAGGTATTGGTATCTTCCGATGAACTTTTTGAGAAAAAGGACGAGACGTTCTTTGACATAACCCTGCTTCATTAACTTTCTGCTCAGACAGACTTGATGTTTTACAAAGTCAGCGAAGCAGCTGTAAGCTCTTGAATACCTAATGAGTTAGGAAATGATATCACATATGCAGGTGAAGTTTGTATATTGCTACTAAGGTGTGAGAAATTGATAATTTCAAATTTAAAATCGTCTCGCTTGTCATAGATACTGGTACTGAGATGACCGCTGATGTCAAATTCGAGGTATAAGTCTAAAAATGAAGCAGACGAATCCGTGTCTGTTGTTTTTTTAATTTCTGATTCTTGTTGAATTCTACATGCTGACCTCAAGATATCTTTTTGTGATTTTTGTCGTTTCGGTTGATGTCATACTGCTGTTTACCCAAAACATTTATTTAATCACATAAATGCCTGTCTGGTATTGATATATCATTCAACCTGTAGACAGAAAACGAACAAGTTTACCTTGTGTTGGAAATTTTAAAATGGTCAAATAAATCAGGCAAATGGGTTTATTATTCTGATAATATTCATCTTCAATCAGTGATGGAAACAGTATTACCAGCAGAACTAATTTGGGCGCGCCTCTAGAAAAAAAGTATTTATTTATGAAAACTTCCAAAAATTTTGACTCACTACGCTCACCAGAAATTTTACCATTTTGGATAATAACATCCCTCTTTACTTGGACACTGGATCCACCCTTGACAATAATGGTATTTTCATATTGATAGAATGTTAGTTCTAGTCTTCATTTTGTCTGCTATATTTATTTGAAGTTGTATATATGTATCATACAAAAAGGTGATCTGTATCACAAAAGTTAATTTAGGTCAGCATGTTTAGGGGTGAAAAGTTGATTCTGAGGTGGAAGAGGGGGAGGAGCGTAGTTTTTGTGTTAATATAAGGATGAACTGAAAATAAGTATTCTGGCCCTGGTCTGAGTGAAAATATATAATCTGGCCGCCTATATGTTGGAAATAAATATTCTGACCTCATCAAATTTGCCAGCTGAGTTGCTTACTTCTATGTCATTGGGTCTCGGGTGAAAAATTGTCTTATTTGCAAACAAGTACCACATCATTTTATTTATTATGATCTTATAAAAAAAAATTCCCTAGTTAAAATTTGCATGACTCTTTTTGGTTTTTGTTGAAAGCTATATATATGATGACCTCTAGATTATGTTTTTTGTTGGTGTTGGGATGATATCTCATCATAGCAGTTTACTCAATATCACCTGTTTTATTGTCATATTTTAGCCTATTTGTATTAAATAAGCTTTTCACACCATGCTATATGTATAATGTAAAAACAAAGTTGTAACATTCACCATGGATAAGCAAGATAGTTTAATTCTAATTGTACATCCTCAAAAAGAAAATTCCAATTCTCATCCTCCCTCTTGAAACCACTTTTTATATTATTTTTTTAATTTCTGGTTATTATTTTTCTTTTGCTAGAAGTTTTCAAAATTATAGCAAATTAAAACCCCAAAAATATGCTTCCACCCATAAATAAAATTAAAACAAACAGCTCACTAATAGTACATAATGCATGTACGCCCTTGTCATGCTAATTGTGTATATTGAAATTGTTGCAAGAATATATCGGGATATTTAGAAGGCATTTAAAGCAAATAAAATGGATATGTAGAAAAACATGCATGAGGGCAGAAGCCTGTAAATATTGGATCACATATATTGGACTGGTAAACCATAAGGCATGGGCCATTTGACTTTCTGGGGGGGGGGAGGGGGGGGGGAGGGGGGGAGGTTGAGGGGGTGTTTTTTTTTTTTATCAAGCCAGATTATTTTTTCATCATGCAAACCGAGCAAGAATATTATTTTTTCAGTCAAGATTTTTTTTTCAACATTTGTTAAGACAAAGGAATAGGAGGACATGAAGCCAGAATTTTTTTTGTTAAAATAGAGGCCAGATTTTTTTTTCTCAAAAAAACCCGCCAGATTGTAATACCTATTTCTTCCATACTTCAACTTTTGTCGCAGGCGAGACAATAAAATAATACTTTGAAGTACATGTATTGTTTAACATGTTTGATATGCTTGACCAGTATAAAATGCCTGTTACTATGAACAGCAATTTAGACTATAATTAATACACATGTCCATTCAGACTTTAAGTACAGCAAGCAGTCATTTGACACCAAACAATACTGACGGACCGCGAGAGACCTTCAAGGGTAGTCAAGGTTGTTTAACACCCCCTGGTAGTTAACAATTGCAATGCCAGCATTAACTTCAGATGTGATGCATTATAAAAATTCACTGAAACTAGAAATTCTCATTATCCAAATTGTTATTTTAAATGAATGATTATCCAAGGTATTCATGAATTCAGATATGATGCACTATTAATATTCACTGAAACTATATATGAATTTTCATTATTCCAAATTACTATTTCAAATGAATAATTATCCAAGGTATTCATGGCATTCAGATATGATGCACTATTAATATTCACTGAAACTATGAATTCTCTTTATTCCAAATTGCTATTTCAAATGAATAATTATTCAACGTATTCACAGTCATCCAGTAATGGGGTCTTCCTTACAAATTATAAGTTTGCTATTTGTTCAATGCACAATTTCCTTCTTGTCAAATTTATTCTGAACATCACATCATCATCATGGCATAATGCTGTAAGCACTATTCGTTATTTCCAAAAGCAATAAATAACAAACACAAAATTATGAATTAGTCCACTGTTTTACAATTTGCAGCTATTAGAGTGATTCAGTAACATCTATATTTCCTATGCATCAAAGTGCATATGTAGCTGGCTTCATATTCTGGATGGGACTCATGCTCAATCCAATGTGAATTCTACAAAAAAAAATATACATTGAGAATAAAGTACTGTAATATTGTAACTAATCTAATACTATATATTAGGTACCTAGAAGAAAGTCACAATTACAATAACTGTATTTACCTAGAAGAAAACTAGCAATCTAAGTTGCTTGATAACAAAGTTCAAGGACTTATACAATTGAATTTATAAGTCCCATATAACAAGAAGAATAAAATCCTATTTGGGGGTCTAAATTTCTAAAAGATATCGTCTTTCTTTCTACATTCATGTTTTCTTAGGTGTGTACTTTC